CACACACACACACCACACACACACAGTCTGTTATCACCCAATCCGGGAAAAACCAGCATTATAAAGTTAAGGAGTGATGTCATTGGTATCATATTTTTATTTGAGTTTAAGCATATTGCATTTTGCACTGTTATTCCTCTAAAGACAGACTATATCAGGCGTCCCAGGAAATATTTCACTATCAGTCGCATATGGACATTCAACACTTACACAAAACTTGTTATATGAAACCAGCTATTGGATCCAGTTGACAAACTGAAGGAGACAGTCTCATCAATATCAATACTACACCTTTTAAGTTGTTAGAGGACCGGATTGGATATTATTAGGTTTCTGTGAGCAGTATATGTAATTAAAGTTTTACTTTAAAAAGAAAAATAATCTTATTTGATCTCAGCTGATCTGAAAAATCATAAAAAAAAACTCATAATAATAATTTAAACTTCATAGGATGTGTGCTACAAGTCTGTGCTACATTATCACTCACTGCCACAACCACACAACAAAGCTAAAGTAGGTAATCAGGACATGATAGGTAGTCCTTCATTCACCACTTTACACCTCACAAAAAATAGATATATTATTAGTTTAGTAAGTGATCACAATTGAAAGCACAAACCAACCCAAACAAAATTTACGCTTTGTTTTGTTTGTTTTTTAGGGTGCCCTCCCGCTCTCCGTAATGACACTCTCTATCATTTTTCTAACTTGGCTTATTTTGTGTGATGTCAGAAATAATGACAGAGAGAGAGGGGAGAAGAATATTATGAGAAGATCATCAAAGTCCATGTCTAAATAAGCAGTTCAAATTAAGATAAAAAAAATCAGCTTTATTAGTACTTTGTGGTTGCTGTGTATTTAAGTCTGGGTGGAGAATGTATTAGTGCCACTAGCTAGTCCATTTCAGAATATATTTTAAAGATTAAACATCCCCAAGTCTTTCTTCTCTCACTGTGAAACTAGCTCCCCCCTTCTGCACCGCTCTTTTCTTTCGTCTGGTTTCTTACTGTTTGGATTGCTTTTATTTTAAACAGCACGAGCATTCATCCATCCTTCACAGACGACACTGATTTTCTGGACTACATAACAGTACACACATTGACTTGGTTACAATATTTTCTTACCAACTGTGTTTATTCCACTTTCTCTGTCATGTTTCAGAGTAGAGTTGTGAGAAGACACAATAATAATAATAATAATATAAAAAATAAAGTAATAATAATAATAATATAATAATAATAATAGAAATCAAAATTGATTAGAGGAAAATATTTATATGGAAAAATATTCTTATAATAAATTAAACTATTATTAAACACCAACCAATATTCTATAGTATCTTAATATCAACAATCAACCACACAACATAACACTATTCAACTACAAAACAACATGACTCATCACTATTCAAATACAACCATATTAATAAGTTTATGTCAAAGACTCATCTGCTTCATCCCAAAATGAACGACAACAGGATGGCTTTTAAAATATATATACAAATACAACAAAACGATCAATAATATTAAACATTTAAATTGTTTTGTGTGTGTGTGTGTTTTATTTGTACCTTGGCAGGGGGAGAAGAATGCCGGCTTTGACGTGCTCTACCACAACATGAAGCATGGCCAGCTGGCAACCAAGGAGCTAGCCGAGTTTGTCCGCGAGAGGTAAGGTTTGTGTGTATTTGTGAATATCTGTGTGGGAGGTGACGTTGGTGATGGGACTCACGGGTGGAGAAAACTCTACATTCTTGATTTTGTACTTTTTGGAAAGAACGATGAGAGATTGTGCCAATGTTGGGTGAAATGGTCAAAGATTATAAATGAAACTGTTTTGGATTTTATCTCTTGCTGTATCTGACAAGATGTTCATGATTAATGCAGTTTCAAAGTCCTGTCAGCAGAATGCAGATTATACACTTTAACAAGTCTTTCTTTGTTAAAGCCGCTTCAGTCGCCTCTCCGCTCTGACCCCTCTCCTCACTACTGTGCTACTTTTTGAAGTGCAATCTCTCCAAAACCTCACACACACAAGCCTGAATAGGTGGATTATCCCTGGGCTCCCTGCGGTACAGAGGTGTATCTTTTATCCACGTTTTAAATTTATGGGTATAATCTGAATTCTTTCAGTTTGCAATGTGGGAAGAGTTATGTTGGGCACCTCTGGTTCAGAGAGTAAAAATCATGTTGCTTTTTTCCAGAGGACAATGTTAGTTAGGGTACTTTTACTGCGTGAAGCTCTCATAGTTAAATCATCAGGCCAAAATGTTAACAACTGTGGTACAAAAACTGGATGGAAGCTCAAAATGGCAGTGTTGAGAAACCTAAGAACAATATGCAGCCTATAGGTTCCCTCTGGATTTAGACCTTCTAGCAGCACTATGAAGCTGTTTTTCATGATAGGGTCCTCCTTTTTGTTTATCTTGTGCATGTTCATGAGGGTGCACCTGCGTGTGTGCGTGCACAGTCCTACCAACGGTGTAACGCTGCTGATCAACAGGTGGCGGTAACACACTGAGATAAGCAGCAATGTGCCAGCAAAGGCACTGAATAAGAAGACTGTAAGATAATAAATATGTATCTAAACAAATGCTGGATTTAATACCTATGAGGAAGGAAATGTGTCATTGTTAAACCTCAATAATGCACAGAATACATTTTGGTAAGTGGCACTGAATCTTAACATAATTTTTGTTTGTTTATAAGAAAACTCCACAGGGCCCCTTTGAATCAATTCACTCCTAAATTCTGGGTTGATTTTGGATTATTTAAACTCAACTGTAACAACAGTTCTCTTGTTCTGCTCTCTGTTCTTTTTTGGATTTGAGGAAGTTCACACTTTGACAGCCTCTGAGATACGTTTACCAAACTAAGTGTTACTCCTTATTTCCTCTTGAAACGCTTAGCAGCTAAATTAGGTGATGTTGGAACTAAATAAAAGTTAGCAATGCTCCTTCTTAATTTTCATAATTTACATATTTTCTAATGGACCTTAAACTGGTACTGATGGTGAAGGAGTCATAAGATGTTAAAATCGTATGTAGCCATTAGGTGCATAATTAAGACCCTTTTACCAGATTTTCCTTTTTAAACGAGTCAGCTGGAGACAACATAACCAACTCAACAACTCAATTCTCATTTCTGCTGGTAAAATCAACTTTAGCCAGCCAGAAACGAGTTTACCTCTTTCTGAAATCAAGGTCCTGTTGTTTTGAAAATTACTAAGAATCTCTTGCGGTAAATCTGCCACTATTGACAGGGGGGCCAGTCTATTACCTAATTAAAATTGTCTTCTCAAAGTGGGTAGTTTGTTAAATTAACTACTCTGTCTTCTAATCAGTGATTAGCAGTGAGTAAATTGAGGGGAATAATGAGGTTCCCACAGGAGTTTGTGCTCTCACAGCTGGAAGTTAACACACACACAGTGCACTGTCAGGCCAGTGATATAATCCCGACATTGATTCAGAGCGCCTGTGCACATTCCTCGCAGGGGGAAATTCACTTATCTGCTCGGACAGCGGAGGACAACAAATCAGCAGTCAGGAAATGAAATAGAGGCACTGTGAGTAAAATAGAGTGTGATCCCGCGGGACGGAGGAAAAGCAATTGTCTTGATTGTTCCCTCGATCTTTCTTTCTCTTTGCTGTCCTAGGAGGTAATTTTGATGTAAGACACAATATGATATACTCCGTTAAAGTATCGTAACAACTCCAACCACATATTCACTTACTGCATGTTACACTACCCCAACACTGATACTCTTTAATGGAGATATATTGCTGGGGACCGATAGTGGGGACCAAAAACCGTGAGTTTAAGGCTCAAACAATTAGTTCATCAAGTATTGTACAAACAGAAGATCCATATTCAACTATTTTCATAATGATAAATAGTTTTTCAAGCAAAAACACATTGTGAGAATGAGCTTTTTCTTCATCTGATATAATAGTAAATGTAATACCTTTGGGGTTTTGGGATATTCAGGCAAAACAAGATATTAGATTAACGTCACATTTTTCACTATTTTCAGACATTTTATAGACTAAATAATTTATTGATTGGTAGAGAAAATAGTTGGGATATTTAATTGATAATAAATATAATTGTTTGTTGCCCTAAATCAATTAGTTGGCGCTCAAAGACCATTTTTATAATGGATTCTTCATTAAAATAGTTTTTATCCAGTTAAAATCCCAATTTTGTATCTTAAATGTGTAGAACAAGAGTGTAACACACATCACACTCAGCCCTGTCTCCTAGAAATTACGTTTATATATACAACTAATTTAAAATAGCGAGGGAAACGTAATGCAGACCAAATGACTGACCAAATGACAAATGACTAAAATAGCGAGGGAAACGTAATGCAGACCAAATGACGTTTTCTATTAACATAATAAGGAAATGTTGTTAATAAACATACAAGTCGCAAAATGTTGATTGAAGTATCAGTAAAATGTTCGCTGATGTATTTTGTTTTTCCCAAAATAGGCAATATTATCCATATGTATTATTATTATTTTAATAATATTATATATTATTATAATATATAATAATATTAATAGTATTGTTGTCATTTAAATAGTTTTTATCATAAAAATGTTGATTATAGCTGCTTTCAGTTTGGAGTGTGCAGGTGTTTCTTATCAACACCTTTTTATATGTAGACAAATACAAAATTTGAAGATCAGAAATTGAAAAATAACAAAATAATAAAATAAACAATAAAAATAATAGAAAATTAATTTGTTTGTCCTTCTCGTGATCCAATTTGAGTTCCAACATAATTTCGGCATCACTGCTCAAGACCGAGAGTGTTAGTTTATGACTCAGTACGTCTCAGTAGCAACTTGTTCTGTTCACCCTCAGGATATTTGGATCAATGCTCCTTCCTTCTTCCTCTTCAGGGTCTACAGATGCTTATTAAAGTTTTATGACCAGCCTCGCAAAAACAAGTCCATTTATCATTTAAATGTGGCTTATTGCAACATTTACCCGACACTGATGAAAATTAATCTTTATCTTGCTGACTCTGGTGGTGGATGCCCAGAGTTTGGGCCAAAGTAAGCGCTAGATAGAGAACATAACGTATGAGGCCATTAGTGGAGGCAATGGCGTTATGAGAAAGTGCCATTTGAGTTCATTACATCCAACAGACTAAAGTTTATTTAGAACAATTTACATTGTAAAGAACGCCCACAACATTACTCTTCCTGTCGCGTTACTGACGACTTTAGAGAAACAGGTGTGCATCTTCTGCTCCACACACACTTACATATACAATACATGCAGTAAACAGGTTTCATATTGGTGTGTAAGCCTAAATTAGAGTTATTGTGTTGGTTTTTCTGCTAATGTTAATGTGTGTGTTTTGCAGTGCTGCTGTTGAGGAGACTTACTCCAAATCAATGAGCAAACTGGCCAAGATGGCCAGCAACGGAAGTCCACAGGGGTGAGTACAACAGGACACTGCAGCGTCCCTGCCTCGTTCCCTTCACCATATTACAGTTGAATTTCTACTGTTGGAAGGTGTTTGTTACTGTAATTATACATGTAATGGTCAGATGGCTTCATATGAGATATGAATGAGGACCATCTGCGTCACCAAATGTCCGTATTTATGATTTAAAATGATGCCCTCGCCGGTATTTAGCCTATATGGTTTAATACATATGGTGTCTGTTATATGACAGATTGTCTCTGAAACAGTGAATTTAGATACTTAGTAATGAAAAGTTGGATAAATTAATAAATAGTGCAGATTGAGTGCTGTAAGTGATGCCATAACAACCACATTTAGCCACTAAAGGCACTGAAGACATATTTTCTCTGATGGAGTTAAAAAAGCTTTTTCTATTGTTGCACTGGAGAAATGCCTGTATTTATGTCTTTGTGGTCAATTCAATTTTCATTTGTACAGTGCCAATTCATAACAAAAGTTATCTCAGGACACTTTTCAAATTGA